AATGCTTTCTTGCTCAAGCATGCATCCCTTCCTGAAATGCACTTCTTAACGGTGCACAAAGGCTTGGTGGCTGTTTCCTAAATTGCCATGACTTCCCTCTGCCCAATGCCTGTGCTATCTGAGACTCTGGGATCTAAAGCCAGGCTGATTTTGTTAAGGTGCAGAGACAAGTCCCACCTCACCAGGGTCTACTCAGAAAGCAGGCCTAGGCCTTATGGCTGGAGGGAATTGGCCACAGATTTGACTTTCCAGCTTAGGGGCAGAATTGGCAAGGGGGGAACGCTTTCTCCTGAGTGCTTGCTTCAGATAGCAGCCTGTATCCACACTAAAGTGAGTGCATTTTGTGGAATCTCCCCCTAATATTTGCCAGATTCAGCAAATAAAATTACAGGACACCCAGTTAAATTTGAATTTCAGATAAATAGTAAATGCTTTTGTAGTATAAATAATGTTCCAAATATTCCATGGAATACTTATTCTATTTTTTTTTTTTTTTGAGACAGAGTCTCACTCTGTTGCCCTGGCTAGAGTGAGTGCCATGGCATCAGCCTAGCTCACAGCAACCTCAGACTCCTGGGCTCAAGCAATCCTTTTGCTTCAGCCTCCTGAGTTGCTGAGACTACAGGCATGCGCCACCATGCCCAGCTCATTTTTTCTATATAGTTTTAGTTGGCCAATTAATTTCTTTCTATTTATAGTGGAGATCTGTCTCGCTCTTGCTCAGGCTGGTTTCAAACTCCTGAACTTGAGCGATCTTCCTGCCTTGGCCTCCCAGAGTGCTAGGATTACAGACATGAGCCATCGTGCCCCGCTGGAATACTCATTCTAAAATTTTGTTAATCTAAAATTCAGATGTAACTGGGTGTCCTATATTTTATTAAGCTGGCCTGTTCTCTGCCCTCTTTCCTTTAGAGCTCATTCTCCAACTAAGCCTTGTTCTCAGGGTTTAACTCCTTCACTAAACTATCTCCAGTGATAAAGGGTTTTTTCTTCTTCTTTTCTGTAGAGCACCTGTCGTGGGGTGGTGAGGGTGCAGAGCTGGATGTCTAGGTAAAGGCACATGGCCTTTCAGGAGAACTTCCTTGAGTTTTGCTTATTGGCCTTAAAGATTTTGTCACCATTTGCAGAATGTGGCACCATGAGGTGGGCAGTGGCCTTGCCTTTGAATGACCTGGAAGCACTTCAGTGTTTTAGGGTGCTTGATTTCCTGTTGATTATGTTTGTTTTTTTTTGAATCTATAATTCTCAGAATTGTTTGTAAAGTCAGATCTAAAAATCAAGAAGTGCCCACCTCCTGTGTGTTAATGGAAGTTGAAGTGACCCAGGAAGAGGCAGAGAGAATGGAAGCTTCAGTTCCCTCCTAGATGGGTGGGAATCAAAGCCCCCAACCTTGGTACTTAACAGATGCTTTTCCCATCGGCCCCCTTGCAGAGGGTGTGCAGAGTCTATCTTGCCCACCTCCAGGCTAATAAGAAACTAGTTCAGGGATTTCTGTCCCTCTCACCCGGTAGGCAGGGCTTATGTGGGGCTTAGCTCTGAGCTGTCAGAGGAAGAGGTCTGATAACTCACATTCCCCTCGGAGGGCCCTGAAATGGCGACCCTGCTCAAGCGGCCAGGGGAGATTTGCAGGATGAATAAATGCTTCCCCAGGGATTTGGAGGCAGCTTCCTGTCGGGGCTGGGGGCAGAGATTTAAATGTGAATTACCGTCCCAGCGGGGCAGGGATTTACAGGATGAGTCTCTTCCCTGCTCACAGGGAGATTTACATAGTCACCCAGGCAGCAGCAGGCTGTGGGGATTGCCAGTGGTGACACTCAGCACTGGGGCGGCAGTAGGTCCGCTGGGGCCTCTTCAGCCACCCCGTGCACCGGTGCACCAGGATCTGCCAGCACAACCTCCCCTTGCACCTCTGCCCTCTCTGCCTCCCCTGGCATCCCCCAGTGTCAGAAGCACGGCGCCCCCTCTAACAGTGGGTTTAAGGGAGCTTCTGCCTGACGCCCCTCTGCTTTCCTTTTTGGACTCCACTTAAGCCTTCTTGCTTCTCCATTGCATGTAACCACAGCCATTGCCAGCCACTCTTTCCTGACTCCCTCCCTCTTGCAGAAGCACTGGCTGTCAGCTTCAGGTGACCTCACCTGCTTCTTTGTTTCCTGTGGCCGCTTTTCTCACCAGACCCCTGGCTCTGAACTTGGGAACCTACTGTTCAGCCAAATTCCCTTCCGCAGAATCCTGTGTGGGAGAGTATTTAAAAACTCAGAATCCTGGCCTCCCCTCCAGACCTCCTGAATCAGAATCTCTGGCTCTGGGGCTCAGAAATCAAGTTCTCTAGATAATTCTTCAGCACACTAAGATTTGGGAACCAAAACCATAGATGTCAAAGTAGGGGCTGGGGCTGGGCCTCTCCCCCACTTCCCCTGCCCCTGGCCTGAGTTTCAGGAGGACGACTGTCTCCCTTCTTTCAGGGGAGTCTCTCTATCCAGCCTTGAGCAACCTTAGTGCAAGTCTTTGAGGGTGTTTTTACTCAAAGGGCAAATATGTGGTACACTGTGGGGTGCAGAGTGGTCCCCAGAGAGGACAAGGCCTGAAAGGTACTCTGGCTCATGAATATTCATGCTGGCTGGGCAGTCAGTTTTGATCACTCAGATCAATTCAAGGCACTTTCTGTAAGCCTTTGTGAGAGCAGGAAACGGGCCCTGGGAATAAGCAGGTAGGGAAGGAGATTGAGGTTAAAATGAATTGACAGGCAATAGGATTAGAACTCTTGCTCAATCCTGATCTTGCCAGTAACTAACAGTGGCCTGAAATTAAAGAATTAAACCATGAAGGCTTCCTTGACAACTGATCTGATAGGTGCAAAAGTAAATTTCAGGGGCAGTGTTGTCAGGCAGAGTCAGGGGAGAGCTAAGATAAGGGGCACCGAGGGGCCGGGGCGGGGGAGGGAAGTCCTGGCTTTCTCTGTGCCATCCAGTGCCAGGCTGTTGCCTCTTCTCTAGGTGGCGCCATATGCTGAAGTAGTACTGGGGCAAATTAGTCGCCAAGGCTTCTATTCACCTCTGGTCGCACTTTCTTCCTCACATCCAATTATGGCTTTAAAATGGAGGCCAAATGAAAAGGAGAGGAAGATAATGACACCTAAGTCCAATGTGGCAGCTAGCAACTTTCTCATAATTGCACCTTCCCTTGTAGCATTTTGTTTCTATTCCCTCATGTTGCACATGTTGCAGTTTGTGTGGGGGGTGGCACCCACCATCCGCAACAACAGAAAACAACTCCAAAGGGTTCAAGGAAGCAATATCAAATGCAATTTAATGACAGTTTTTCCATGGGAGACAGGGTACAGATGAAGTCGCATTCTAAGTTTGCTTCTTCTTATTGTCTTTAACATCATAAGAAAGCCTAGAAAATTATCTATATACATCAATTCAGGGTAAGTAAAATGCTCCTCAATATCCTTTCTCTTTCTTATCTCAACATCCTAAAAAAAAAACAACAAACAAAAACTGGTTTAAAAAGGATGAGTGTTTAGAGTAGAGTACTCAAGGTGAAATATTTTCATACAACATTGGAAAAGACAAACTCCAACCCTTGCTCATGTGATGAACTGATTTGGAAGAAATCAATGCTTATCTACAATTGATCTCTTTTCAGTAAAGTTCTTCCTCAGGTGGCCGTTCTCCAGGTGAACATGATGGGGGACTCGCAACTCTTGGAGGAAATCTTAAGGACAAAAATCTGAAATTTAACAATCTGACTAGGAGACTCCATTCTTGATGCTATTTGTAGCTGAACTTTAACCAAAGCCTAACCCTTTGCTGTCCAGCCCACGAGTCCCCTCTTCCATCGGAAATTGTATCCAAGTAGAAGCGTCCACAACCCTCACTTCTTCATCTCTTTCATCGAAACCACTGGGATCAGAGTGATTGACGCACTATTGACCTTGAAGATTCTGCTTGCTCCCAGGCACTTGGGCTGGAGTTTCCTGTGACTTTTTTCCTAGTGGGAACCATGACCTTGATTTAGAAAGAGTATTGGTCTGGGTAGGCTACAGATTGTGGACATGGTCCTTGTTGGGTTGCAATGAAGTGAGGGAGCCAAAGTGGGAAAGCAAGGTGCTGGGCCCTGTTCTACATGTGACGTCCTTGACTCATTACCTTTTCTGTCCCATGGCTTCATGCTATATAGGGCTCCCACTTTTGTGGTAATATATTTTATGTGATGTTTCAAACCACTGCTTACTGTGTCTTTCTCCAATGTTGGGATATTTCCGGTTTCTAATTTCAGAGTAAAACATTTTTTTAGATTAGGTTTTAGCCTACATGTAAGAAGGAAGTAGGAAGGGCAACCTATGACAACAAGGATCAGGAGATTCCCAGTTTTATGGAAACTGGTTTTGCTTTATTGGATTAGGATTGCCAATAGGCTGGTTTTGCAGAGCCGTGACTTTTTCATGAGAGACATCGGACAGAACTTCCACATTAACAGCGACAGAGGAGGGGCTGGGGTGGGGCACAGGTGCTCTTTGTCAGGGAATGCTCTTGAATCTGCCTAGAGGCCTCAGAGTGTCTTCTCTAGAACAGTTTGTGTTTTCCCAATAATTTGCTATTTGGCTGGCTTGGCTTTCACCTGTGCGCCTGTCAGTATGGCCATCGGGTCTTGCTTTTCTCTCCAAAGGTCCACTCCCCACCCTGCTGTGTGCATCAGCGATGATATACACCAGCAATGGGATACACCAATGGTATACATCAGCAATGGGATACACCAATGGTACACATCAGCAATGGGATACACCAATGGTATACATCAGCAATGGTATACAGCAATGGTATACAGATACAGCCGCCCCTCTGTATCTGAGGGTTCCACATCTGCAGATTCAAACCTCCAGAAATTGAAAATATTTTGGGGAAAACCCAAAATAACAATATAACAATAAGAAATAATACATATTAAAAAACAATACAGTATAACAACTATTTACATAACATGTACATTGTATTAGGCATTATAAGTAATCTAGAGATGATTGAAGTATACGGGATTTGTGTGTAGGTTATATGCAAATACTACACCATTGTCTACAGGGACTTGGGCAGCTTCCAGTTTTGATATGCACAGGGGGGCCTGGAACTGATTCTCCATGGATGCTGAGGGAACAACTGTACTGGTAACTGTTTAACGACTGGAATTCTAGGGGGAGAATGCCCTGTCTTATAGCACTGGTTAATTTCCATGGCGTAAATATTCCTACCATGGCTATTTTCAAGATATCACCATGACATCATTAAATATGGAGTTGGAAGATGTTTCTGTAGCACATCATTATATAAAACATTCACCATACAGATAAGTAGATGCAAATACCTCAGGAGCATAGGAAGTACAGAGTAGTGAAATAATTAGGAAGTCATGAGTTTCGAGTATTTATCACCTTAGCTTTAAATATAATTTAATTGTAAACTTACATAATTTAATTTGTAATGGTGGCTATACTGTATTAATAATCAGCTCACAAAATTCCTGCAAAATTAACAATCAGAATATAAGCCAGCCCTAGTAAACCATGGGATCTTGGGCTGGGAAAAGATGGAGAAAAGAATGAGAGGCCATATTGAGTATCAAAGTACTAGAAGACCTCTCTGCCGTTCAGACTTTATGACTGGGTCCTTCTGAGTCTTGGGTTCATAATGACATGGACCCAAGAAATGACATGCTTGATGTAGTTCAGAAGTGAGAAGTCTGGAGTCAGACGTGCCAGGTTCCAGGCCCAGCTCTGCCATTTGCAGGCTGGGTAACCTTGAGCAAGGTGTCTTACCTCTTCTAGCTTAAAGTGTGTCACCTGTAACATGGGCACAATAAAGATTACCTGCTTCATAAGGTTCTTATGGGGATTACATGGGATATTATGCACTAAGTACTTAGCCCACTGGGTCATATAGTAAAGTCAATAAATGGTAGCCAAGAGTGCTATTATGATTACTATCCTGATCCATTTCTGAAATGTCCACAGTAGCCATGGAGGTGATGGGGTCTATCCCAGGTAGAATTTCATGCAGAACCATTGCCAAAGACAATCTTCTTTGTATGGTGTGACCTCCATCTCCACATCTGCCATTTGCGTAGGCTCAGCCTTAAGGGGAGGAAAGCCCCTCTCTGCACACATGAAAAAAATCATTCTGGCCAATGCCTGAAGTTCAAATACTGGTAACTCGAGGTTTTTTCCCCCACTATTAGGTGTTACTGCCTCCCTAGGCCTTTTTTAAAAATGCAAATTCTCTTTAGAGGGTAAGTCATGAGGTCTAGCACCCTGGTGTGAACATGGCAGCCAGATCCCAGGGTTCTGGCAGGGACTCCTGGGAACCCCAAGAGGAGAAGCCTGGGGATGGGCAAGGGACACAGACAGGGCAGGGGACCCTGGACCACCTGCAGCTGGGCTGGCCGACTAGCTGTTCAAGCAGAGACACCTCTAAAAGCAAATCCACTCCAGTCATTCTCCCCCCGCTCTCACAACTATCCCAGGTCCAAGACCCAGTTGATCCTCAGGCCCACAGTCTCCTGAGGAGGTGACAACACTGCTGTGCTGAGTATTTTTGGTCTATCTTCCTATTTTGAGAACACCAAGTGTGCAGTTGGTTGATCTGGGTTCTGGTTGTGGTCCATCCACTCAATGTGTGACCTTGGGGAGATCATTTCATGTTTTGGAACCTCTGCTTTTTTAGCATATTGAGGATACTGATGAGGATTAACCTGAGACTCAAATAAGAGAGCCCTTTGGGGACCATGAAGCTCACACAGTTTGGTGTTACCATTTTCTATTTCCCGTTCATTGTTGGTTCGCACATTTTCCTTTAATTCTTCACCTGTAGATATGGAGAGAAAGGCCTTCTTGGAAGCACCATAGATGGAAGATCATAACACATCTCCAGCTCATTATTATAAAGGTGTCTAGGAACCAACACACAAGTGGGATTACTTATTCCTGATATAGTCTTGTGTGCATTGAAAATAACCTGAAGTCATTCCCAATTTGGCTCAGGTGCTTGGCACAAGAAGGCAAAGGTGACGTTTGCAGTAGCCCCAAGGCCCTTCGAATATTAATTATATTCTTGTCGAGGTTTTGCTTATCTGGGGCATTTGTGATGCTATACAAATGCTTTCAAAATAGTAGAGTATCAGAAACCAGGGGAGGAACTGTGGCTTCTGAAGGTATTGATATCAGACTTACCACCCAGGGGGTCTCAGGTTCAGAGGAAGGGTCTAGGGAGCAAGAAAGCCCATCTCTCCCAGTGCTAACTAGTCAGTGACAGGTTAGTCCTTGTTCCTGGGCCACCCATGTGATTTGAGGGTGTAGCTGGTGCCCTGATAGGATGTTGGAGAGCTGTAAGAGTGAGCAGGGTACAACCCTTTCCTTGAGACTACAGAGCCTGACATTTGATCAATCTGTGACACAATGTTTATTGCCCCTGTCTTAGCTCAGGGTCCTGGCCACGACTGTATGATCAGAGGGGCTGTGCTATTAAATCTTCTATCAACCGGCACATCCCTTCTAGTGCTTGGGGTGTAGGTTGGCAGCAAAAATGGCTGGAGAATTACCCAGTTGCTGGGGGAAGGGTGTTGTGTTTCAGGATCAATTATTTTTGGTGGAGAAAAGATTGCTGATGTCCAGCCAGGGCAATCTGCCTGCAACTAAGCGCTCCCTTGCAAGCCTGCCAGGATGCAGCGAGGGGCTGAGGCGAGTGAATGGGGCACAGAGAGCAGTGTCTGGTTGGCGAAAGGCCCCACCAGCGCCAGTGCGCGTGTGCGTGGGTTGCGGAGTGGGTGCCACACTTCTGCAGCATCTGGACAGCGGCCAGAGGGAGGGACCAACACAACAGAAGGGAAGGAGAAGAGATCCTGCCGGGAAGGCTTGCAGGCGCCCAGCTTAGAACAGAAAAGACAGAGTTGACTAAACACGCTTGCTTTCTCCAAATACACGAGAGGCTTTTATAAAGGCTATTGATGACTCGTTCTGACAAGCAAACCAGAGAAAGCAGCCTACGTAGAGGCGATATGGATTTCTGTTGCTTTTTCATTCACGCTGCAACAACAGGATGCTGGATGTGCGCTGGGTAAAACGCTTATAATACGTGCCGGATGCGGCCTTGGAAAGTGAGGAAAGGAAAGGGGACCTCCCCAGTTTGGGACAAGGGGCCAGCCCTCCAGGCTAGATGTCCTGGGTGCAGCCCTCTGAGTTCTTGGCATTTGACGCTGAGCCCCGATTCTACTCTGCAAAGCGTCGAGAACACAGTGGGGCTTTTGCACGACGCAAGAGGCCTCCACCTTAGTAAGAGGTTAATGGAGCTTATTACTTGCTAATAAGACTCTCTGAGGGGGGAACGCCCTCTCTGAGGTGGGAGATTAATTTTACATTGTCTTTTTTCTGTTGCTTTTCTCCCCCCCCCCATCCCCATTTCACCCAGCCTTATCTACTATATGCTCAGCAGAGGGCAAAGGGGTTTTCAAGAAAGCACCAAAAATCTGGGGACTTTGATTCCAGGGCAGGAAAAGATGGCACAGTCTGGGAACAAGGCAAGGAAAGCCCCAAAGAGGGTTTGACATCTTTCCACCCTCCTGAGCCCCAGGAACAACCAACCTGGGGACCCAGCCCACAATTGCTCCACCATCCCAGGTCCCTGCCCTGCGGGGATACACCACCTCCTCGTGCCCAGGTGGCTTAGCTTTGACCCTGAGGTTCCCAGGAAAGTGTCAGCGTGGTGTCTGGTTGGTCTGAAATACGATCCCTGTCCCCAACCCACTGCCTGCACACACTTCACATTCGGCTCACTCTGAAACAGACTGGAAAGAGAGTTTCAACCCCAACAGTCTGCTTCACGGTCTTGGTGGCTTTTGCTCATTTCAGAAGCAGTGGAGACAGGAATTGGGGGGTGGCGGGAAAGAACTATGCTGATTGAATCTCACAAACGTTCGGAAAACGATACCAACAAAACAGGACAGACATCAATCACACCAAGAGCTTCAATCACAGAACGTTTACATAATACAGTGCCCATGGCAGACGGATACTAAATACCACAAAGTACCTGAGACCAAAAAAAGAAAGAAAGGAAAGGAGGAAGGAGAAGAATAAAAAGGAGTCTGGGGTCCTGGCCTTCGGAGGTCCCAGGCACAGGCAGAGCTCCTGGCGGGGTGGCTGCGTGCAGCGCCTGGTGGCCCAGCCTCACGTCTCGGCCTCCGCGGGCCGGGCCTCGGACGCGGTGATGGCGATGCCGATGGCGAGGCTGCCGTTGTCGGAGAAGAGCTGGGCCAGCGAGGTGTTGAGGACCAGGCAGTCCCCGTCGGTGATCACCGAGTCCACGCACTCCAGCACGGACCGGGGCGTGGCCTCCCACCTGAGACGCCGGTGGTTTCTGTTGAGCTCCAGGCGATAGGTGAAGCAGTCGGCCTGGGTGGGCGTCCCGATCAACATCATGGTGGCAAAGAACTGGGGGTGCCCCTCGTGCCTCTCCTGCTTCCGCAGCACCAGCAGGAAGTGGTGGCCGAGGCAGGAGTGCATGATGATCCAGTCAGCCGGCGCGGGCAGGTGCATGTCCGTGGCCAGGAAGACGATCTCAGCTCCCTGAAGGATGTCGACCCTGTGGATCTGCCGCAGGTGGGGCACCACCACCTCCAGGTGGCCCTCCCACTGGCAGGAGAACAAGGGGCAAGTGCACAGGCAGGGCGTCACCTGGGCGGCGTGCAGCCCTGCCTCCTGGTGGTGGAGGAGGTGGGGGTGCGCGTGGGGGCGCAGGTGGTGGTGGTGGCGCTGGTGGCAGTGGTGGTGGGCGAGGTGGTGAGGGTGGAGACCGCCTTGCTCCGGGGTGCTCTGGGTGACGGCGCGGTGGCTGGACACATACTGCAAGGAAAGAGAAGAGCGTCAGTGGGGGATGAGGCCCCTCTGCCTGTCCGGCCGTGGCGGCCCTGGTGTTCCAAGTGTTGAAAGCACACTATCTAGTGCAGGCTGAGAAAGGCTCATTTCTTCAAAACAGCAAGGGACAGGGTGGGCCCCCTGGGGAGGGGCTGTTGAGATTTTGAAAACCCAGTTCAAGAAAATGCAGTATTTATGCCTTTTTGATTCCTTAACAAGATACACAAGCACATAGGCAATTTCCCCCTTCAAAGAGCATGCATTATAATGGCCATCAATCAATCATAAGGAACAAAGAAATCTTTTTTGTTATTGTTCTTTGCTTTTTTGATACTGTTGATGTTTTTGTGCAGGCAATAGAAGTCAATGGATTTTATTTTTCTATTTTCTCATTGTTGTTATTTTTAGATCAATATTTTGGTTATGCCTGTTTGTCGTGCTAGTGCTGCCAGGGCACCCTGTCCTGAGCACCCTCCTCCTGGGTCCTAAGACAACTGGCGGGACACAGAGCCGATCACGTGCATTTGGACGACAGTCCTAGCGAGAGGGCCCACCTGTGACTCCTGAGACTTCGCCCCACCAAGCACACATCTACCCCGTTGCTGTCTCTTTGCTCCACAGCGGCTGCCCAGCGACTCACCACCAGGCAGCCCCCACCTTGACAATCTCCTGACATGTGTCCTCATGGCAGCGTGCCCACCAATGCCCTCAAAAATGCCGGAAGCTGTGATGGCACCTTCTGATTAGGTATCTACAAACATTTATTGACCAGCTGCTACGGCCATACCCTGTAGGCTTCAGGGATAGAGCTGCGAGCAAAATAGCATCTCTGGGTGTGGGTGGCACAGATATTAACATGCCTGCAATGAATTACAGTGTTGACAGAGGTCCTCCTTGTGACATGAGTACTGTGATTCACATTTTTCAGTTGAAGAAACAGGCTTCAATAATAACACGCCGAGGTTGCCAAGCTGGTAATCGAAAGACTGGAATCCATGTTCACACCTCCTGACTCTGAACACAGCGGCACCCCCACCCCAGGTTATGCCCGCCCTCAGCTCCCTCCTCTGTTCTCTGAGTTCTTTCCTTTAACCACTTTGGTATGGCGCTCACCAGCCTTGAAACCTTGCCCATAGCCGGCACTCGTAGTCCACACGACAGTTTGTGCTGTGCATTGACGACGAATCCGTTTTGCTCTTGTGTGATGAGGAAAGCTTTAAAGCACCGAAAGCTTGTTTTACTTTACAGGCAGCTTTACTTGTAATGTCAATCAGAATAAGGAACATATACATATATGTTTTTATTACGTTATTTTTAATTCACAATTTTATTTTGATAAATGAAAAATTAGAAAAGTCATATCACAGCTGTCGGCTACAGTCGATGCTTGGTTCATCTGTGGCTATCGACTATAGTTGCCGCTCGTACCCAAGTGGTTAATTAGCCCGAGTGAGCTAGGCTGTGCAGTGGAGGTGGCAGCTCTGCAGTGTGCTCCCTGCACGAGGCCATCTCCTAGGCTGCCCCCAGGCAGACAATGTCCCTGCTGCCCTAGCACTCCAAATGCTTTCTGGACTTCAGGTGCCTTTGGGCACTGGCCTCCTTTCTGTGCTTCAGGTCATTCCCAAAGTACAGAGGATGTGGGTGAAGGTCACTCGCTACCATTGCTGCCAGAGTTTCCGTTTCCCCTTGCTCACCGTGGCTAACAGTGAAGGCCCAGCTCTCGTCCCTTACTTTAGGACATGCAGGACACATACTCATGCATGAACATGCACATATGTATGCACACAATATACATGCATGCACATGCATGCAAACACACAAGCACAATCATGACATAGGCATGCACATCACCCCTAATCCCCCACACACAGTGAACTGAGATGGTCACCCCTAGTAGTAGAGGTGACCTGGAGGTAGGTGGGGCCAGACCACCTCTGCTTTCGAGCTGTGTGCTCCACCTGTGGTTTCTGCATTCTCCCCCAGGAGCGTGAGCCACAGGGGCCTTCCAACAGCCCCTGCCCTGCCCTAGGGCCTCCTGCCCCAAGGCTGACTCATGAGGACAGAACATCCTAAAATTCCCATCTCAGGCATGGCCTCTGCACTGGTTCTTCTCCCTGTGCCCTTCCCTGGTCCATTTTCCAACTTCTCTATCCAAATCTGTGCAGCTAATGTCAGAGATGGGAAGCAGAGCAGGGAGGGAGCAGGGGAGAAATGCCTGGACCCGCCCTCCTCCCTCTCTCCAATCTCTGCCTGTGCCTTCCATCGGCTATACCCAGCCAGAAACATACTTAGCAAAGGGAACCTGGCCTTTGGCAGCAGTACTGGATCAGGCAGACAGGTGAAGAGGGACAGCTGTGTGCAAACGTTTCCATCTCCCCCATGTGATGTTGCTGATCTGAACAGGCTGAGGCTCCTAGGCTGAGCTTTGACGAGGCTTCAGGCAGAGGGAGGGAGATTCATGCCCAAGTTCATTAACCCACTCAACACAAGTGCATACACCACCTTTCATGTGCAGGGAGCTGAGAATACTGAGCAGAACGAGCTCCTTGTTCCTACCTCGCTGGCTCACTATGATCACGTATATTATAATACAGTGCACAAAATGCAGTCCACACTGGGGGCTCTGAGGAGACAACGTGGGGGAGGTAGCTATTCTAGTCAGTCTGAGGTGACATTTACACTGGGTGAAGTGTGAAGGGTGAATTCTCTAGCAAAACAGGCAAAAGGCCTGCCAGCAGGGAGAACAGCAGGTTCGAAGGTGCCAGGTATAAAAGAGAATGAGATGTTTAAGAAGTGACAAGAAGTTCCAAGTGGCTGATTGACAGAGAATCTGGTGGAGATGGAGAGGAGAGGTTGGGCCACGTTGCCAAAGCCTCGTAAGCCAAGCTGAGGCTCTGAGATGGCCCCCCCGTGCACAGTGGAGATCAGCAGGAAGACCCAAGAGACGTGGCAGCAGGCTTTAGGGAACTCCCGTGGGCAGCACCAGGTCCCCAAGCCCACCAGCAGAGCCTGTCTGAGCTGGCACTCAGAATGGGGACAGCAGCCATTCCCCACCCTCATCCAACCAGTGGACCCAAGCAACGATCCTTTCGCCTAGACTCTCTCGTGGCTTCCTTTTGGCTTCGTCTTCCACTGGCCTTTTTGTTTTTTAATTGCTGCTGCATTACAAAGCAGCCAAGGGTGTAATCCAAAGAGACTGAAGTGAATAGCTATGCAAATAGAGTGGGACATTATACACTCGCCGAGACCTGTGCACTTGCTGTTCCCGGGGAAGGCGCTCAGAATAAATGCAGCCTTAATTCTTCCTTTCTTCCTGCTCCATCTTCTGATGCAAAATATGTTTCGTTTAAATGATCCTTGGATGAGCGGGGTCATGAGAGAAAGGATTCTTTTAATTGGCAAAATGCTAATCGTTTTGGAAAATGAATTCCAATCTTCCCATCTAATACAGAGGATGTGTGAGTAATTACTTTCCTTCACTAAACTGTTAATGCAACATTAGTGATTACGCTAATTAAAACTAATGAACTCTTAACACTGATAAACCCTTCAGTCAGCGGACGCCTTCCTTCCATTGGCTGTGTTTACTCCCATTTGAAGAGAGATCTAGAATTACCTTTAGAATAATGCACAAAATTAGGTTTAGCTATGTTAGGCTTTATAGGCTGGGCATAATTCTTTCCCAAGCATTAGTGAGGCCACTGCCACTGAGGGGTAATGAATTTAAAACGCATTCTTTAATTTGATCAGCCACACTCCGTGGCTGGTAATGGCTCTCCCTGCAAACCCTGGCTTCGGAAGGGAAAGCTGCCCTGGGAACATTACATGACTCCTTCCCTGGCATCTGCTCCCTGTGGTCACTGGCACGCTCGCCTTTCCCTCCCACTTGCTTCCAGGAACACTGCCACGCATTTCAGCCGAAAGAGGATTTTGCACCCGATTTTAAGTGACAGGCACTTGCGCTGCGTTTGCTCATGCCCTTATGTGTGAGTATGAGTTGACTGAAGTCTTTAGTCCTGGGTGAAGAGGGAAGGCAGCGATGCTACCAATGCATTTCACACAAAGCGAGAAAGGCAGGTCGGGGTGGAGGCGGGAACATTTCAGGGCAGTATCAGAGTATTGGATAAAGTCGAGGCCTGAACCAAGTCTGCAGAATCACTGCGGTGCTCCAGGGCCCACTTCCATAGTGTTGAAAGACTCTCTCTGTGTTGGGGAAGGGCAGTCAAGGCTGAAGGCTGACTGTCGTCCCTTCCATTTTTCTGGGGGTGCCTTGGCTCTCCCTGTCTCTTCCTCAAAACCTAGCGGGTCTGTGCATGTGCACAGCAAACCCTCAGACAGCTGAGAAATAGTTAAACTGAGATAGGAAACAACAATGAGGTTTATCACCTGGCATAGAACATTTAATTAGAAAATGTACCACATGCCCCTTCTCCCACACTGGATTTTGTTGCGGTTATCCTTGCTACGTAGGTAGAAGAGTTTTCATGTGGAAAGCGTGAACATGTCGCATTTTCCTTTAAAATACTTTAGTATAGACAATGTGATAGAAACATATATTTTTAAACTCTACTGTGAGGCCTATCAATTCCTGAGTCATGAATTTATACTTCAAGATGATCATCTAATATTTTATTGGAAAAGGCCACACCCCAGCAATAACGACAATTGCTTCATTAGTATCGGTATTGCTGGTTCACACCAGATGCTGCTAATGAACACTTGCACAAAGGTTTCCATTGGTGAAATTAGTACTTTGTTAATTCTCATAATAGATGTTGGAAATTGGCTCTCATTGATGAAATTAGTGGTTTTCGAGCTGTGAAGGTTGGTTCAAATAGTGCAGAGAGATATCTCACTTTATGAATGGGTCCTGAAAGCTTGTGCCCTAACTATCCTTGTGTCCAGCTACTGAGGCAGGACATCCGATGGTCTGATGCCATCTCTTAAGAATATTGGAGTCTTGCCTCTGAAACATAGCTGCATACAAA